AGAAGGCAGCCCTCAGTGAGATGTGTGACCGACACAGTGGCCAAATAATGGGTTCAGGTGTAGCAGTTATTGTGAGAATGGTCAGCAGTGTTCCATTGCTCATAAGGTTGTTAAGAGTAAGAACCAGTTAAGCAACTAACAAAGAAAGTAGAATTGATGGTGTGAATACTATTACAAAATTTCAAAATTAAATTAATACCTATAAATAAAATACTGAACGCTAGGAACCTCAGCCTCCTTTCCTTACTGAATGCCCAGCACACTGGTAGTCAGATCTTGTCCCTGTCGGTGTGGGTTCAGAAATTCATCCCTTAAAAATTCAACTCCTCTAAGAGAAAAGAAATGTATTACTGACCTTGGTATTTCCACAGTGAACAAGCAAGTTCAAGTGACTGTAGACTAGAGTCCAAAGTTGACAAATTCCGGTGACACTCATATCTTCAAATCAACTTTTTAATCATCCATTCTTTTCAATAAGCAGATAACAAACTATCAGACATTTGATAAAAAACTTGTAATATAGAATACTGAGATAAAGAAGAATTACTAGAAAGAAGCATATACTATACAGAAAAAGGAACACTAAAAAAATGCCTAGCGCATAATATCTTAAAATAGATATTAATATATCCATGAAAAGAAAAATAAAATGGGGGGTGGCATGTTTTTCTTTATTATTGTATATTTTCTTCCCCTCTTCCCAGCTCACCCTGCAATGTACCCCTTGTTCCAGATTGTATTCATGCATATAATGCATAACCATATAGTCTTCTCATCTGTTCTAATACAGTGTTCATGATCTATCCACTTTTCCCCATTCCCTTCCCAGCCCCCCATGTCTATCCTATTTTATAACAGTTGTGTTATGCAGTATGTGTCCTTTTTTGATTGAGATATTTCACTTAGCATAATGCCCTCAAGGCTTGCTCATGTTGTGTAATGTTTTATTATTTCATAGTTTTCAGTGCTGCATAGTATTCCTTTGTGTTGCTCCTTTGTGTGTGAATATATCATAGTTTTTCTACCCATTCTTTTGTTGATGGGCACTTGGGTTGCTTCCATCTCTTTGCTCTTGTGAATAATGCAGCAATAAACGTGAGTGTGCATATGTTTGAGTTGTGGCTATGGTTTCTTTAGGGTCTGTTCCCATTAGTGGAATTTCTGGGTCATATAGTCTTCCTATTTACAACTTTTTGAGAAAGTGCCAGGCCTCCTTCCATAGTGGTTGTACCATTATACATTCCCAGCAGCAGTGAATAAGGGTTCTAATCTCTCCACAACCTCACCAGCGTTTATTGTTAGCTGCCCTGTTGAACTTATCTATTGTTGCTGGAGTGAGATGATATCTCATAATTGTTTTGAGAATAAAATGTTTTAAGAAAGAATTTCTAAGGACAACAGCAACAAAATCTCTTGGGAATTAATAATGTAATGTTAGATTTTTTTTTTTTAAACTCCATATCAGATTGGAAGTGAAATAGAAAAAAATCTCCAGAGAAGTAGAAAAAAAAAAGAACAAAGAGGAAGAAAATAGAGAAACACAAGGAGACTAGTTCAGGAGGCCAACAGAGAGCTGAGAAAATGCAAAAGTAAAATCACTGATTAAAGCATTCAGAATCATTTCTAAAGCAGAAGGAGATAAGTTGCCAGATTGAAATGCTCACTTTCAGTTCACACCCATGAATGAAAATAGTCCCACTTCAGGGCACATCACGGAGGAATTTCAGAACACTAGGAACAGAGATAGGAGTCTCTAATAATTCGGTAATAAAATAGGTTAGGTGCAGTAAATGAGAATGATTCCTGACATCTGAACAATACAAGAACCAAAAAGACAATGGAAGATAGCCTTCAAAATTCTAAAGAGAATTTCCAACCTGGAACTCTATATCTAACCAAGTTCTCATTGAGCTTGAGGATAGAATATAATGTTTTCAGACATGTCAATTCAAAATTTGTATTTCTCACACATTATCTTTTTCAGTGCTTTATTGGAGAATATAATGAACTAAAATGAGAGTAAGAAGGAAAAATAAAAAAAAGGAAGATATAAATCCAACATGTGAGCCTGGACAGGAGGATGGTGAAGGGGCCTATCATACAACCACTGAGGTTCTGGGTGGAGCTCACCCAGTTCAGAGTGTAACAGTGTGAATCCAGACACCTCTCCTGAGGCTTCCACCAGAAAGATGCCACAACCATGGTGCTGTTGTTGTGTGCCAGTGAGTCAAATCCAACTCATAGCTGACCTTCAGTGGGTTTTCAGAGGTGGTAAATCACACGGGAGGAGATTGCCAGTCTTTCTCCCACGGAGCAGCTAAAGGATTCAAGCTGCATGCCTATGGGTTGGCAGAACAGCTCCTCACCATTGGGCTACCAGAGCTCCCGACATGGGTAGGACCTTTTCAGTCTGGTATAGGATGTATGATGGGCCTGACATATGTAAATGTGTTTGACCTGGCTTGACCGTGCTCTGGTGACGTTCTTACTCTCCTTGTCATGTCCTGCTGAATCAGCTGAGAATACTCATTTCAACCTCGCGAAAGTGTTGGGATTGGAACTTGCCCTGACAATTGGAGATAGGCTGTGTAGAGCTTTGAAGCAGAAAATAGAAGCCTTCTTTCTTCCTATGATCATATTTTTTTTTACAGGAAATTTAATCAAGTTTAGAAGGAAAGTGAATATATAGAGCTAAATAATATAGAAAGATTAAGTCATCTGTGCCAAGCAGTAAGCATAAATTTTCTTGTTCTATGATTTATAGTGAATAAGCTGGTTTTAAAAAAAAATTAAATGGTAAATCCAAATTTAGCTACAAAGCCTTTAATACTGGATCTCCCTACTATGTGCCACCTACTACATAAATAAATGTAAATAGAGTTTCCAAGGAGAAAAATGTTCTGTGGTCAAGAAAGTTTGGAAAACATCTCATTAAATTACTGTAGACTTCTTAGAACTTGTAATAAGAATTTACTGATGGATATCACTGTCAATTTAAAAGGAAATCAGAATATTCAGTTGGCCAGTCATCATGCCTGGTAGAGGATCAGTGGAAAAGAAGGCCTTCAATAAGATGGATTGGCTCAGCAAGGTGGTAGTGCAATGGTCAAAACACTTGACTGCAACTTCTGGATCCACAGTTCCAGCTTGGCAGGCCATGCGGTGGGAGGAAGCCCAGACAGCCTGCTCCCAGGCAGACTTCACCCATAGAAAGCCAATGGTGCGGTTCCACCCTGGCCTGTGGAGCTGTCATGTTGGGAGTTGGTGGAGGTTGGTTTGTAGCAGTGACTGTAAGGATAGAGCAGGACTCAGGCAGTGGTTAATTCACTATAAGTTTAAAAACCACCTTGGCAGAGCCCAGCAACAACGTACCATTTGACTGTGAACCCCTGCTTTACAGAAACATCTTACAGCATCTTAAGGAACACAGTGCTCCTCCAAACACAGTTTGGGAAATATTTTTAAATTGAAGTATGTGCTGAGAAATGTAACATGATTTTTTTTTTCCTTGAAAGGATGTAAAATTTTACTCAAACCTTTAATCTTATGCTAAGCAGATTTATAATGCCTTTTATTCTCCTTAAGTTTCATGGTGAGGAAATAGAATTATGTACATGACATATGCGAAGGTATTTTAAATCTCAGGTGAGTTGGACTTCAGTGTTGATTATATTTGACCCTCAAATGAAAACAGTTTCACCAAGTTTGGGGTAATTGTAGTGTTTCATTTTGCCAAAATTTTCTCCATTGTTGTTGTTGTTTTTGTGTACATAGAGTTGGAACTGGCCCATAGCTGACCCTCTGGTGGGTTTTCAGAGGCGATTAATCAATCGCACAAGAGGAGATGGCCCATCCTTCTCCCACAGAGCAAATAGTGGAAAAAGTGAAACTTTTTCTCTGTAGGGGGGAGAAAGATAAAGAAATGTTACTGACTTCTCAGATATCCTACTTTTCATATCACCTTAAAATACTGACAGTCAGTTGTTAAATGCAGCAAGTTGAGTACGACTCATAGTGTCCCAGTGAAAAACAGATCTGAACCTGTCCTCTCTGTCCGATCCTGTGCCATCCTTGTCATCCTTAACACACTTGACTCCAGTGCCACAGAACTGAAACAGTCCATCTTACTGAAGAGCTTCCTCTCTCTCACTGACCCTCCACCTTTCCTAGGATGATGTCTTATAGCCTCTCCTAACAAGTCCAGTATATGTGAGAGGAAGCTTCACCATCTTTACCTCCAAGGAACACTTTGGTTGCACTTTCGCCAAGACATATCTGTTCTTTTGGCAGTCCATGGGATATTCAGCACTCTTCTCCAACACCACAACTCGAAGGCATTAATTCTTTTCCTGTCATCCTGTTCATTATCCAGCTCTCAGATGCATAGCAGGTGATTGAAAAGACTGCGGCTTGAATCAGAAGTACCTTAGTCTTTAAACTGACATCATTGCTCTTCAGGACTTTGGAGAGGTCCCTGACAGCAGACTTTCCCAATGTTAGACATGTTGTTGTACTTGCTGTTGTCTACTGTCAATTCAGAACCAACACATAGCTGACAGTCCAGCAGGTTTTCAGAGGCAGTTAATCACATGGAAGGAGACTGCAATCTTTCTCCCACAGAGGAGATGGTGGATTTGAACCATACACCTTTGGGTTGCTGGTGCAAGTCTTCACTACTAAACTATCATAATTCCCTGTGCTAGCTTTTGAATAGGTTAATTCTTTACCTTTCTGTTCTTTCTGATCGTTTAGTTAAAAATGTGTTGGGCTGGGTTTGGGAGTAGTTATGAATATTGATGATTGTATTTTCATTTTATTTCTGTGGCATTATTGATGTCTAACACAACTACAAACTGTATCCATTTCTTGCTTTGGGTTTACTTGGGATTATTATAAATATTTTAAATTCTAAGTTGTTTATGTATGTTGAGTCCCTCAGCAAGGCTTTTACAGGGCAGAATTAGTTCAGCTAATCATTCATTGTTGTTTGTGTGTTTTAGTTTCAACTGTCTCTGAGGAAACATCCTTCTTTTCTACTTTATCCGTGTCATCTCCCGATTCAGCCTCTCCAGAGAAGTCTGCTCATCTCTTACCCTCGATTTTGCCTGGACCTTCCTTCTGTAATTTATCCCATCGACCACCTGCTCCTGCCTCCATTAAAGGTAAAGATAAGGCACCCAGGGTGCCACACCCCTTTGCTCCTCAAGGCCCAGCATCTTCTGAGGAGGAGGAAGATAACCACCTCAATATACTGGAAATCCTTCCAGATAACTCGGATTCTGCTAAAAATAAGCCCAGTCAAATCTCTCGTGCTAAGTGGGTGGAGTTTTCCACCCAGAATGTAGACCACTTCACCTCTGTGTCCTGTGCTAGTTTTGAAGCCCCCAAAGACTTGCCTCGGGAGCCTGAATCCAACAGTTCCATTCGAGTTCTTTTAGGAGAGGTGAAAAATTCTATAGTCCGGTTACATGAAGATTTGAGCATGGTGATCCGAGAACTTAATATGATCAATAGCCATCTGATAAGCATGAGTAGAAATAGCAGCAAATAAGCAAATCATGAATGGTGACCCAGTCTCCTGATAGTAACTCAGATCAAGTCTAATCATCTCAACAACGTTTGATAAAATTCCTGTGGATCTACTTCCCAAAGACTTAAGAAGGTCACATGTTATGTGATTCTGATTTCTATGGCAAACTATTAGGTGATGGTTCAATTTTTGCTTGTCAAATTTCTTTCAAATGAATAAATGCAATTGGTAGTTAAAGTTTTCAAGAAGGGAAAGAATAATCTTTGATCATCTTTTCAGATTTAGATTACTCGAAACTAAAGAAAACTTCATTGGTCTATGTTCTAAATTTACCTCAAAATAGGTTGAGCACTGGTTAAAATTGTTAATACGACCTCAAACGGAAAATAAGTATTCTAGAATTTTTTAGGTAAGTGCAAAGTCCATTGTTTTCAACTGTACAGGGGCCCCTTTTAGTTATGAAGACTTCGCCTTAGACATTGGCGGATCTAGTTCACGGTTTACATTTCACATTGTCTTTTGCCAAATATCTAGTTCTGCAAACAAAAGGAAAAAATACTTTAAAAAAAAATGCTACAGTTGGTTGGAATAATTGCAACAAGACAGGCATAGGATAATGGCTTTATTTTTTTTAGAATAATGCTTTATTGTTAACATACATTACAAAATGAATTCAAATGCATACATTCCCCCTCATCTTCTGTTCTGGGAAATAAATTTGACATTTTTCATCTTACCTGTATCTCTTTGAATCCATTAAGACACACCTTTAAAAAGGATGCTCAGTTATTTATGGGCAAAATGATCTAGGTTGGGGGCGACATTCTCATGATGCTCAACCCTGCTGCACGCGAGAATCTCCATGAATGCTTTTCTTTTGTTTTTATTTTTTTTTAACGAGAATGTTAAAATGGGTTCCATGTTCCTATTGAGTTTTAACTACCAATAATTGACTAATCTTGTTCTATTTTTATCTCTCTTCATGAATTACTTTGAAGCATCAAAAAATCCCTCATTGCTTCAAATTGGAACCAACTCATAGCTGACCTTTCAGCTGCTTCTCAAGACTGTAAATCACATGGAAAGAGATTGCCCATCTTTCTTCCATGAGTAGCTGCTGAATTTGAACCTCCTGCCTTTGGGTTAACAGTACAACTCCTTATCCACCAAAAGCCACCAGAGCTCCCTATTTTGAAGTATTGTTGTTCTACCATAGAGTTGGAACCGACCCATACCTGACCCTGCAGTGGGTTTTCGAGGCCTCAAACTCTGGGCCGTCGTCGGGATTGCAGCATAGCTTCTTACTCAGCTCTGCAGCCCCTAACAGCAACAACATGTCTGGATTCCATTACAGTTAAAACATTCGTCAAATAAATAAAGGTTGGTAGTGTGAACCCACCAGGCATTCCATGGGATGAGATGAGATTTTTCTGCCTCTGTAAAGTTTGCAGCCTTGGAAACCCTTGGAGCAGCTCTCCTCTGTCCTGGGGGATCACGATGAATTGGAATTGACTTGATAGCAATGATTTCACTGATTAGTTTGAAGAAATGTGAGAAATTTTTAAAATATATAATAATGCCTAGGCCCACCCTCGGATAAACCTAAGACTGATCTTCTTTACACATACTGGGTTAAGAAGTAAAGGAAATTAGCATTAAAGGCCCTAAAACTGGCCACTATTACCACGTTTGAAGAATGACAGAGGCCAGCGTGGTATAGCGTTGAGTAGAGAGTAGGAGAAGACTCAGAGGCATGGAGGGAAGAGCAGGCAGCTCGAGACAAGGAATGTTCTGAGAGAGGAGTGGAGATGCTATCAGCTGAGAAAGGAAATGTTACATACGGAGAAAATCTTACAGGGTTCATTTCTAGATGTGTTAAATTTAAGGTGAACACTAGATAACCAACTGACTGTATATTAAACTCAAAACTCTTTACCTACAATTCAGAACCAACTCATAGCTGACCCTTCAGTGGGTTTTTGAGAAGTTGTAAGTAACACCAGATGTAATTGACCATCTTTCTCTGGGGATCTAGAGAATTACGTAACAGAGACACCACCTTTGGGTTAACAGTGCACCTCCCTAGGGACTACACCACCCAAGCTCTCTGGACGTATTTTGTCATTGCCGTTGGGTACCGTAGAGTCAGAACTGACCCATAGCTGACCCTCCAGCAGGTTTTCAGAGGAAGTTAATCACATGGGAGGAGATTGCCCATCATTTTCCCGTGGAGCATCTTGTGGATTTGAACCGCATGCCTTTGGGATTGCAGTGCAGTCACTTGCCACTAGGCCATCAGAGCTCCCTGGACACATATAACCAATATATTTTGATTAGTTAAATAGATGTATATTAGATCATTAAGTAGCTCTGGTGGCTTAGTGGTAAGGAGTTAGGAATAAGGTTTGAATCCACCAGCTGCTTTGTGGGAGAAAATGAAAAGTCTCCTTCCACGCAACAAAATTGTCTCTGAAAACCCACAGGAGGGTCACCGGTGAGTCAGTTCCAACCCAACAGGACATAACATATTATGTAACTAATATACAGATAATATCACTTCCCAGGCAGTTTACTACCTCTGAAAACCCACTCTGGGTTGGTTCCAACTCAACAGCACACAGTAACAATACTAGATAATGAATATCGTGCAGTGATAGCTCTGGTAGTCCGTGGGGAATTGTACTGCTAACTCAAAAGCTTCGCTCTCTTCTGGTTCAAATCCACCAGTAGCTCTATTGGAGAAAGATGAGCAGATGAGTCATCTCCTCTCATGCATTTACAGCCTCTGAAAACCCACTCAGGGGTCGGCTGTGAGTTCCGACTTGACAGCAAGGCTTTTTTTTTTTTTTGCCATTGTCCTGTGACTTTTACAAAAACCAATTTGCTGTTAGGGCGATTATGCAAATAATGCTCTAGTGGCCTACCAAGGGTATTGGATAATCTGTTTAGAATGCAGACAGGTACATGGACTCCTTCATAGGGTGGTGGTTATTGTTATTAAGGGCCATCAAGTCGAGTACAACCTATAGTTACCCTATGAACAACAGAGCTGGACCCTGTCCCAATATTGTGCCTTCCTCACACTTTCTGACACATTAGAGCCCATTGCAGCAGTCACCGTGTCAGTTCACCTGGTTGAGGGTCTTCCTCTCATTCGCTGGCCATCCACCCTTCCAAGTATCATGTCCATCTCCGTGGAATAGTCCCTCCTAGCAAACTGCCACTGTAGGTGGCAGTAATATAAAACGCAGGACCCAGGAGATCAGCTTGAGGTGATGTGGTGGGCTTCCTAAGCCACGGAGCAGGCAAGGCAAGAGGCTTGCTGGGGGAGTAAGGCAGCTCCAGACACTTGTCACCACTTGGCTGAGCAGGACAGAAATCAGGCTGAGGCCAAGGACCTCACAGCAAAAATCAGCCCCTTGTTGCCTGGCAACAACAAGCCAAAAAGAAGCTGTTTTGAGAAAAGGACTTTATCCTGATCACTGGCCTGGGACTTCCTTAATAAGTGCCCTGTGAGTATGGTCTGTGAGCCTGTGTGGTCATTGCTATGAATTCTCAAGCCCAGCAGAGAAGTAGAGAAGTAGAGAGAGCTGGGGGAGGGACAGCTGTTGTCAGAATTGGTAGAAAAGTTGGAGAGGGGAGGCATGCCTGACCCCCATCTCAGAGGAGTCAGCTCTAAGTTGATGATTCTGTCTCCTTTCCATGAGTTTACATTCTGATGTCACCAGACACATTTTACACCAAATAAGCATTTGAGTTTGGGAGAGTGGCCTACTGTTTATTTACCCAAATAACATATGTGCCATAGCCCTTTTAAAACCATTCTTTACCTTTCTATGTATGCTAAGTAGGTTATGTTTGTGTGCTTTTTATTTACCTGGGTCCATTGTTGTTGTTATGTGCCGTCAAGTCGTTTGCAACTCATAGCGACCCTATGTACAACAGCCTTAAACTCTGCTCTATCCTGTGCCAATCGCATTGCCTCTGACACACCCATCCTGATTACCCCAGTCACTGAATCAGTCCACCTCATAGAGGGTCTTCCCCTCCTGCGCTGTCCCTCCACCCTACCAAGCATGATGTCCCTCTCCAAGGACCTGTCTCTCCTCACAACATGTCCAAAGTATGTCAGACGAAGCCCCAGAATCCTTGCCTCCAAGGAGTAGCCTGGTTTAACCCTCTCTAGGATGAATCTGTTATAAGCAAAAAATATGTAAACTGGACTGGTGTCTTGGAGTTAGCATTTGTTTACTATGTAAAGCTTTGAGACCAGATGAAATCACCAAAGGAAGAGACTTTAATAAAGAAGAAGAGAAATCCAGAGCCTGAACCTCAGAACATTCTAACATAAAGAAATTGGGGCAAAGCCAAAGAACCAGCCACAGAGGCTGAGCACCAAACATTGCAGCGTGCAGCCTGGAAAGTCAGCAACACCTGGCAGATCTTTGCCTTTTTCTCTCGCTTGTGCATTTTGGAAGTGGCACGTCAGCTTCCTTTGAGAGCCCTATTGCGCTTTCAATTAAAATTGCACTAAATCAGTTTGAGAGAAATAAAACATTTTTATAAATTTGGTTATCTAATTCACGATCATGATGTATTTTTATACAAGTCTTCTCTTAATGTTTCTTAAATTAATAAGCAAGATACACACATAGGATATCTATTTCTATTGTAAATATTTAATTCTTTGTTCTTGATATTTTGATGTTCTTACATTATTTTGCTAGTTGAAACATTTTGGAACTGAACAGTTGAAAAATTAGTACAATGAGCATCCATTTGTTCCTTACTTTATGACTGTATGCACATTATCTAAACATGTAGAGTCAGGACAGAGAGCCGTATGCTTTTTAACCATTTGAAAGGAGGTTGCAGACATCCTTAGACTTCATCCCTAAATCCTTCAGCACACATAGCACATAAACTGGATAGCTAGCTTTCAGCCTGTCTTCCAATCCAGCAATTCTCTCTTTAGCTGTGTTTTTTTCTGTTGCTTAATTACCTCATCAAGTTTTTATTTGCTTATTGTTAG